CTTCGAATCGACGAAACTGAAACTAGAAGTTTCATAATTTATCATAAGAAATTTTAGCGTAATTCTTTTCTATTCTAAAAATACTAATAACATTCATTTAGTTCAATATAGTACAACAAAAATATATTTTCTTCCGTAAATTTACTTTAGGGGGTGGAAATTAACCGTCGAGTATTCGGCTGTTTTTGATTTTATTGTTACGATTCGCAAACTGTGCAAGATAAGGAAAAAGATCTTCGAACAAAAGTTACTTCTTTTGTTCAAATATGACACGCGGTAACGAGTTATAAACAAATGATCGATCCTATTCGTATACCATATGATAGATTTGGACAAAAAAAGGTAACTTTTGTATGAAGACGTTCTCTCTATCAGTCGAATATTTATTATTATTTTTATCTATCTAATAGCCGAATATTTGGCGATTAATTTCCACTCCCTAGAATTTTTTGAATTTTCGAGTTGGGGATCATTCCTTGTTAGTTAAAAATTGCTGCCATCCTTGTGTGACAGATACGACCGAGGAAGAATTACGACAACTTATAATATTGCAAATAAATACTTATAATAATACAAATATATAATAAAAATATAATATAATATATAATATTATATATTATTAATATATTATTATTATTATATATATATATATATATATATATATATATATATATATATATAATAAAATAAATAAACAATATTAATTAAATCATAACCTTCCAGTTTTCATTCGATTCGATAAACCACTCCGATTTGGTGAAACGTTGACGATAAAACATAGGGAAAAAAATGTTATTCACTAAGTTGTGCGACGAACTAACGTCGAACCGAAACAGCTTCCTTTAAGACAGCAATTTATCGGAAGAAAATCGGTATTCTCGGAAACTGTAAAATATCCATCGAAAATCCATCTTCTCCGGCAGATAATCACTCGCTCCGCCCCGTTGACAAAGCTAATAATGAACATATATACATATATATATATATTTTCTAACCGATAGGAGCAAGCTCGTCGAAAACGAAGGTAATTTGTTGCATCAAAGGGAGCAGAACGTTGGAATTTCGTCGTCATTAGTTCCAGAAAGCGGATCGTTTCCCGGAAGAAGCCAGCGAAAAATCGCCTATACCGCGGCCAGACTTTTCCCGGGCGTTCGCCGATACAGGGGACAACGGGGACTGGGGCTAGTTCTCCCTCCAGGGCAAAAAGTCTTTTCGACAAATGGAACGTCCCAGCGATAGAGAAAATTGTACTGGCAATAATAAAGTGATACGACGAACAGGAGCAACGAGAGCGAGGGCTTGAATTGAACCGATGCGGCGCAACGAGACCACCCGCTTCCTTCTGATACCGCCGATAAGTCCCCAAACATTACGCCAACTTGTTTATCCGTCGTCACGATGGGCAGTTTAATCAGATTTGATTTTTACCGGAAGAACGTTACGCCTTGAGATTTATCGTCGAGGATTGTTTTCCCTTGACCTTGTTAAATCTTGAAACAATAGTCCGCTTTCGACTTCGAGAGACGTTATTTCAAGGACTGCGAACATTTCTGGTTCTCACGAATTGTTGGATTTCTCGGGAGTTATCGAAACGCTGAGAATAATGAATTGTTATTAATATAAATACTGCGAATCGTTTCGCTATTTCATAATATAATAAGAAAAAAAAAGGATTATTGTTGTTAGCAAGCGTTTCTCTACGCATGCAGGTTATGCAGTCAACATTAACCCCTTCGCAAGTATTCACCCTTTTGCAAGTCAAATTTATCCTTACGCAAATGAAACTCAGCCTAACTAATATTGTGGATTAATATTGAGCGCAAAACCTGTAGTGCATTCGCAAAGGAACTCCTCGCACGAAATTAGATAGAAGAAATGATCTATCAACTTGATTCGGGTCATTTGAATTCATAGTATAAATCCTGCGTTTTCTCTTTTCCTTCTCATATATTATGGAAAAGTCGTTGTCTAGTTCATAACTATTTAAAAACTAAAGAAAAACATGTTCAAAAGATCCCCGGTGGTCGTCCAAAATCAAGAACTGTGCGAGAAGGTGATAAATAAGATATGTTTGGAATTCTACGATGACATCGTGGCAAATAGCAGCGAAATCCGATGTGGAAACACGTGTTGGGACAGTGCAGCGAATAGTAAAGGGTTTTAAGCATTTAATAATAAACAAGCCAGATTGGAATTTGCAGAGCATCGGATACATTGGTATAAAAAGTGGAAAAAAATAATCTTATCTGACAAAAAGCGTTTTAATTTAGACGTACCCGATGATCTAAATTATTATTTTTCCGGTGGTATTATGACGTGGGGAACTATAGGATACTGTGGAAAGACGGATAATGAATTTGTTTCTGTAAAAATGAATAGTAGAACGTGCCCACGTGGACATCGTTAATAAACAACTTGTCGAAGTGTGCACAAAAAATAGCTAAGCAATAACGTAGCCGTGCATACTGCAAGAATAACACGAGTCTATTTCGAAAATAAAAATATAGATATTTTATCGTGGTCAGCAAGATTGCAGGATTTGAATATTATTGAAAATTGTTCGGGAATTCCAGCTGAGAAAGTGTACTCGAGAGGAAAGCAATTTAACACCACAGAAGAATTAAAAAGGTGTATTGAGGATACGTGGAAAAATTTGAAACAAAACACAATTAAGAAACCGTATAAATCTTTACCCCAAAGAATGTTGGAATTAGTAAAAAGGAAGGGTAGAAATACACGTTATTGCACAAATACACGTTATCACAACAAAAAGAATTCTATGTGTTAATTTTTTACAGGAAATCCAACGTTATAGTTTTGTAGCAACCGTTTTTCTTATAAACTGTTACCATGACTGTAAAACAGCACGAATACTGGTCAACTTTTTTACATGTTACTACAGAAGGGATACTCTGTATATGTTCGTATACAAAAGCTTTCTACACGTCCGTGATTTTAAGAAACACTAGAAATTCAGGAGTGTCTTATAGTCTTGCCGCGGTGCGTAAGCATACTTAGTTACAGTTTTATCAAAAATATCCACCGTTCGAGTGTTAATATTTACTATACATTTGAGGCTATGAAAATGTTTCAGTTCAACAATGGTTTAATAACAAAAGAATAGTTGCTCGTTATAGAATATCACCCCTCCTTGACTGGAATATTTCTCCATCCTGTAGACATTAGCATGTATTATTGGTGAATCTATAATTCTGTGAAAAAGCAATTCAAACTTGCGTTCGAGTGTTGTTGAATAAAATTTTGAGTTTAGCAGGTAGTTCAAGATTGTTGCGCGTTAACTTTAACGATGGTGGGTAAAGGGCCCTTTGTTCGAGGGCGGAAGTGCTTTTTAACTTCGTTGCGTGTACAACTCCCTAAGTACAACGACTGTTTCCCACCTGATCTTCTCACTCCTTATTTCTTTAACGATATCACATCGGCATGGTGGAATATGCTTTCACGCATAACCTACACATGGACTGTAAACGTTGGAAAAAAGAAAATTATATTAGACTGTGGATTTTCATGGAAATTTTAATGTTTCTTGTTCACACAGAAACATAGCACAAAAGAAATTACGTACTGTGAAAGTTTAAATGATTTTTTTTTTTAATACCAAAGCTACCGAGCTCGAAAATTAACTAACACGTGAACATGTGTTGCTGTATAACTACTTACAAGAATGACTAAATGACTTTGTGTCATTTTCTATGAAAGAGTCTTTATAATTTTAACAATTTTAAGATACATAACACTGGTCATTTTGACCGCCATGATAGATTTAGCGTAAACAAATCTTTATAATGATAAAGATGCAAAGAAATCCACAATCCAATTGTTGCATTTCCAACATTTCCGGCAGAAATCAATATTTCTGTATTATTAATTAAGGTCACGCGCAAATAGAGAAGTGAGCAAGGTGATAAGATAATATATGTATACAGCAGAACTCCATTTATGTGTGTGTGTGTGTGTGTGAACGAAATTTGAGTGAAAATTGTCGGTGGACTCCTATTATATGAACTAAAACTAAATAACTGATTCCGAAACATGGATGAAATCGATGCAACAAATACAGCCATTAAGTGAAGCCAAAATTAGTGTTTAATTAATTAAAAGACACTTGGACTTAAACGATTTCCAAATGAAATTTGGAATAATTTACCAGGTAATTTAATACTTGTGTGTTACACGAATTAGTAATAATTAATACCTTGTATTTCTGTATGTTATTTTGAATTGCACACCAATCTTTATCTCTAATTAGTACTAAAAACATTTAGTTAGACGTAAAATAAAGAATTAATTTACTAAATATTGTTTATAATTGTTTTGTAATTTGATTATAATTAGACTGCGGATTTTTGTGCAACATAAAAGTTATCGCATCGATTGCATAAAATAGAAACTAAATAAATAATCTTGTCCTTTAATAATTTTAATGTATCGAAACTAATATATTGACATCTTTATATTTCTAATAATTTTCTATTGTTTTAAATCGCGAGTACTCGATTTTTCCATAAAAATATAAAATCTGCAATCTAATTACAAGCATTCGATTGAATCTTATTTAATCGTAGACTCTGATTATATTTGAATCAGTGAATTCCTATTATGTGAATATCTCACAAAAAATGCAGTTCTATCGTGATAAAATATCCAAAACAAAGCACCGAGAATCGAAGTCACTTAACTTTCCATCCATGAAGAAACAAATAATTTCATTTCGAGCGTGTAACATGCTATTGATTTCATATGCAATGGACGTATATTAATCGCGGTCGTTGGAAAGTTCGATGCAGGAATTTCAACGAAATTTTATCGAAGTCGGCGATCGCCCCGCAGAGAACTAAAACGACGGGACGTTCACCGGTTGCGGTAGTCCGCAGCCTTTGACGGAATCAAAATATTTGTATTCATATCGGGTAGTATGCTCGGAGGGTAAGTGGCTTTCTGTGTAGGCGAAAGGGGGGTGGTAGGAAGGGTAAAGTACTCACGTTAGCGGTGTCGTCGAGTTTCCGCTTCCACGCATCGCTACGTTCGATTAGGGCGTTCCACTGCTCCGAAAGTTTGTTCACTTCACGGCGAATGCTGCGCGTCAATTCGCGTGCCTGCTCCTCCGCGCTTCTGTAGCCCCTCGAATCACCGTCCAATTCTCTTCCGGCTGCAAACGAACGTTTTATCGTCAATATAGCGTCTGTTGTCACTGAAAAGGTCCATGCGAAACGGCTGCGCCGAGAAACCGTTGCATGCACAGTAAGCCGTCAAAGTATGCGAATGCTTTTCTACAGAGATTCGGCCTCGTCCGAATTGTTTCAGACGTATTTATTTATCTGAGATAATTATCCGAATCGATTCCGTTTAGTCGATTGTTTTATTCGAATAGCAATTATGAACTATTAATGATGAATTATTTTGTTCTCTCTCGATTTGTTTAACGTCGCCTATCTTATTTGTTCGAATAAAGAATTATTCGGTTATTCATCATAAAATATATTAAAGATTCTTTATTCGAGTAAATAGAATGAAATAATTTATAACGAATAATGAATAATTCCCTATTCGAATAGAATAATCGAATAAAAATAATTGATTCGAACAGAATAATCGAATAAAAATAATTGATTGGAATAAAATAATCGAATAAAAATAATTGATTCGAATAGAATAATCGAATAAAAATAATTGATTCGAATAGAATAATCGAATAAAAATAATTGATT